TCTCGCCAGGAATTATCCCTGAGCCCAGAGCCAGAGTAAGCCCTGAACACCGCTGGGTGTGCCCCCACCCCCTGCAAAAAACAGTAACAAACACATACAGTTCCATATAGTAACGTCATGCAGGTAGGCAGAGCACAGACACAGCAGGACGCTTGGTTTAGGTGGGAATCAGGACAGAAGCCCGAACCTGAACAAGAAACTCGCCGAACAATTATCAAGATGCTTTTTAGGAATGCCCACTTGTGTTTTTGTATCCTTTGCCCAACAGCTCACATGGGTTCCCAGCTACAGGAGTTAGCTCGGGAGACAAAGACCACCCGTTTCTATGGGGCTCGGGGGCACTGCCTTGCAAAGGAGCGGGAAGGAGTTGTTAGCCTGCAGCTCTGCGCGGACGTAGTTCTCAACACTGAAGGGAAACGTCCCTTCCTGGTGGTCGTCGCCCCCACCCTCACCCCCCGCGTCTCAACCACTTCTCTCCTTTAAATGCAAGTGCGACTGTGCCAAGGAAATGGTAAGATCAGGCCCAGCACCGCCTGGGCGGTGGCCCTCCAAGGCCCGTGGGACATTCACTCCCTTCACCCTCCAATGAAACAAAAGCCTCGGTAATGTGATTCAAACAAAATGATGCAGGCAAGACGCACTGGCGTCCTTTCCCAGAGCCACACCCCCGAGGCCCCAGAGGGCCTTGGATGCGAGAATTGAAGCCTTCGAGACTCCCTGAACCAACACGAAAGGCAAATGAAGGTGGAAGAGTGGAAGCGTTTCCCTTTTTTCCTTCTTGCTTTACACCCGGAGACGCACAGAGGTTTATTCCTGGCTCTGCACTCAGGAACTGCTGCACCCCTGCACCCCTGGCACTGCTTGGGGGGGGACCAGATGGGATGCCGAGGATTTTGAGTCCAGGTGGGCCGCGTGCATGGCAAACGCCCTCCCCGCAATTCTAGCGCTGCGGGCCCCTTTTGTTCGTTGGCTCTGAAACGCCGCCAGACTCCCGGTCCAAGCGTCAGAGCCCATAAGGACCGGCCCCTAGGGCACGCGCACCCGCCCGTGGGTCCGTCCGCCGACCGGCTGCCCGGCCGGCCGGCTCTCTCGCTCGGCTCCGCCCCTTGCCCGGCATGCACTGCGCCGACGAGCCCGCGCCCTCCCCCCGCCCCCCACGCCCCTCCACCTCCGGCGCCTCCAAATGACAAGCGGCGCGGGGCATTGTGGTCCCGCGCGAGAGCGAGGTCGGGAGCCGGGGTGGAGGCGGCGGGGAGGGGGGGGCTGGGAAAAGAAAAGAGCGACCGGGGGCGGGCCGGGCGGGGCCTCTTTGGCGCATGCGCACGACCCCGCCGGCGCGGGCGGGGCGGGGCGGGGCGGGGCGGAGCGAGGCGGAGCGGGGCGGAGCGGGGCGGAGCGGGGCGGAGCGCGACCTACGGCGAGCGGAGTGGGGCGGGGCCGCGCGGCCTTGGCGGGGAGTCCGCGAGCCCGGAGGGGTGGGGGGCGGGCGAGGGAGCGGGCAGAGGAGGAAGTGTCATGGCGTCGGGCCGTGGAGCCTCTTCTCGCTGGTTCTTCACTCGGGAGCAGCTGGAGAACACGCCGAGCCGCCGTTGCGGGATGGAGGCGGACAAAGAGCTCTCGAGCCGCCAGCAGGCGGCCAACCTCATCCAGGACATGGGGCAGCGCCTCAACGTGTATCCTTTCCGCCGCAGACAGACTCGGCGGCCCTCCGCCGCTCACGCCCCGGCCCCGCTCCCCCCCGAGCTCGGCCGCCGCCGGTCGCCCGCCGACCCCCGGCCTCGCCCTTCCTCCCCCGCCCGCGCCCGCGCCCGCACCCGCGCCCGCGCCCGCACCTCCCCGGCCCCGAACATGGCGTCGCTGCTTTTCCCCTCAGCCTTAGGCCGAGCTTTGGTCCGGGCGGGCTCGGGAGGCCGCGCCGGGGAGGAAGAGGAGCCCGGGAAGGCGGGCGGCGAGGCGGCGGCGTTGTGTAATCCCCGGCGCGGTCGGCGTGAGTGAGTGAGTGAGTGTGTGTGTGTCTGTGTGTCTGTGTGTGTGTCTGTGTCTCTCTCGGCGGCTGGGGGGAGGGGAGCGCCGCTGAGGGGAGTCTCGGGGGTGCGGGCCGCGGTCGGAGTGAGTGAGAGAAAGAGAGAGAGAGAGAGTGTGTGTGTGTGTGTGTCTGTCTGTCTGTCTCGGCGGCTGGGGGGTGGGGGGGGCGCCGCTGAGGGGAGTCTCGGGGGTGCGGGCCGCGGCCGGAGTGAGTGAGTGAGAGAGAGAGAGAGAGAGAGAGAGAGAGAGAGAGAGAGTGTGTGTGTGTGTGTGTGTGTGTGTGTGTGTGTGTGTGTCTCGGCGGCTGGGGGGTGGGGGGGCGCCGCTGAGGGGAGTCTCGGGGGTGCGGGCCGCGGCGTCTGAGGACTTGAAGGGTCAGTCAGGCCCGGCTGGAGGCGTCCGCGGCGCGGCGGCGGCGGCGGCGGTGGTGGTTGTGGTTGTGGTTGTGGTTGTGGAGGCGCTCGCCCCGCGAGTGCGCCCCGGAGGGCTTTCTGTTCCAGGCGTGGGTTTTTTTTTCTCTCTCTCTCTCTTTTCTTTTTCTTTCTTTTTTCTTTTTTTTTTTTTCTTCTTCTCTGGACGGAGGCGTCTGCGCGCGCGCGCCTGCCTTTCCGCTGTCTGGCTCGTAGCGAAGTCGGTCCTGGCCGTCGATTAAAAAAAATAATAATAATAATGATCCCTCTTCCAGGTCTCCCTCCGTGGGGAAATGTGGGCGTGAGAGAGAGGAACGTGCTCGGCGCTTCTTTCCTCCGCTGTGGCTTCTCGTCCGGTCCCCAGGCAGCTTGCGGGAAGGGGATTCTTGGAGAAACTCGAGTTTTTGGGGTTTTTTTTTGGGGGGGGTCGTTTGTTTTGTGTGTGTGTGTGTGTGTGTGTCGGGTGGTTGGGGTGTGCCCGGAAAGGGGGAGTCGGGTGGGGTGGGGTTGGTGGGCTGGCGGGGGAGCAGGAGAAGGAACTTTTAGATCGGGAATTTTCCAGTGGAATGGTTTTGGAAATGAGAACTTGTTTTGTTTTGTTTTTCCTAAACGGCCCATCCCAGCTCTCAGCTGACAATAAACACTGCGATTGTTTATATGCACAGGTTTTATATGCACCATTCTTTCACCAAATTCAGTAGAAATGTAAGTACTTACTGTCTTTTTTTTTTTTTTAAATAGACTTCTGCCAGTTTTTTAAGGTCAATTGATAACGCGGGAAATCAAAAGTTGGTCGTTTCTGTGAAACTGTTGTTGTTTTAATCTTTTTTTTGTTTGTTTTTTTGTTTTTTTTTTTTTAACCGGGGGACGAGGTGCCACTCTGCACACTCCTGGCTCTGCACTCAGAAAATCACTTCCTGCAGTCCCAGGGCATCGACCCGGGGTCGACAGCGCAAAACAAATGCGGGTTTTTTGGGGGGGGAAAGTGTGATGACGTAATGATCAGGCCCAGTGTTCAGCTATGTCAAGTATTATGAGCTAAAAGATAAACATTGCTCATGTAGAGTTATTTTACATAGGTTTTCTTCATTAAAAATTTTATATTTAGGGTTGAGTGATTTCACACAGTGGTGGAGCAGGTCTAATTTGGAGCAGCCGTATCATTGTGTTATATGTCGTTACTGTATCAAACCTATTTTCAACCCGCAGGTACTGGGAACTGTGCTTATTGTAACATTCTCTTGAATTAGCTCTTTGTAAAAGTTCGTGTTGAGCAGACATATTTTATTTGCTTACATAATTTCTTAGGATGTCAAATGTATCACCCGTCAGCATAGGGTGACTTGCTGTTTGAAACTTGGTCAAATCTTGTTTCACATTGACTATACCAGATTATTGAGATGTGTATGCCACATATGTCATATAAATGCACACTTAATGGTTATGCAAGATAAGATTGTAGTGCCCTTTTCAGATTGACACGAGTTTCTGTTAACAAAAAATTGTGTATTTAGAAGTACCAAGTGGCCTTTTAGTTCTATCTCTTTTGCTTTTTATTAGTTATTTGCATGCTATTCTGACAGGTGTTTGTAGAGAAATGTGCCATGGAAGACTTTATGCTATTTGTGGATTGTCATTGAGACCTAGTTTTGCTACAACAAAGTTTTTCATAGCAAAAAAATTCTGAATTGGGGACGAAAGCTTAGTAGTTTAGACTGATTCCTGTTTTTAATCTCTTACTAACTTCAGTTGATTTGAATGATCAGATTGCTATGTGTAGATTTTCAACAGCGTTTTTGTCTCATCTCCAGTTGTTTCCATTCCTCTTTTAAATCTGAACAGTTTCTGTTAGTTTTCCATTTTCTTTGTTTTTGGTGGCCAGACTTGGCAGTTCTCAGAATTTATGCTTGCCTCTGCACTCAGGGACTGACTGAGTTTGGGGGACCATATGGACTGTCCCAGACTGAACCCAGGTTGGTTGCATTGATCGCAACTGCTTTATCCACTGTATAATCTGTCTGGTCCCCTATTCTTCCCCCTTTCCCATTTTTTTTTTTAGTCACATATTTTGTGCACAGGACTTAGATCAGTGAAACTGTTAGGGAGATCACTTAGATCAGTTAGAGATCACTTCAGGGCCAGAGCTATAATACACTCAACCAGGCACTTTTCTTGCACACTGCCAAACTTGCCTCCATCCCCTGGCCCACCAGGAATCATCCCTTAGCATTGAGCCAAGAGTAACCCTGAGCATCATCAGGTGTGACACACACACACACACAAACCTGGTAGAAGTCAGAATAATTCTGGGGATTTTTTTTTTCATATATGCCTACCAGTGTCCTATTTGCTGAATTAGATTTTTCTACTTGGAATAAATAATCTTACCACAAGATTGTACTTCTTGAACTCTCCCTCTGCCATAATTTAATCTTTGTTCCCTGTTTGGTGTTCTTTGAAACAAATATCTTTTTTTTTTCTTTTTAACTTGTAAGCTCTATCCATTTGTTTATTCATTTAATTCTGTACAATTGATAGTCACCTGTTGTGTATGCCTATTGCCTCAAAAATATGGAACGCTTCGCGAATTTGCGTGTCATCCTTGCTTAGGGGCCATGCTAATCTCTGTATCGTTCGAAATTTAGTATATATGCTGCTGAAGCGAGCGCTGAAACAAATATGTTACAGTCAAAATTCATAGTTGACTGGTGAAGCCCAAATCACTTGCTTGTTAGAAGCCCATAACATTTTCACTGTTTTACTTAAATATCACTCGGTTAAAAACAGTATTTTTATTACTCTTAATGTCTTCCATGTAGATGACAAATTTGAATGTGGGATAATTGAAATCTGATGGCATATTTTGGAAAGTAATATTGACCTTCATATTTGACCTAGTTCTTTTTGTCTTTGTTATTTATATCAAAAGTAGTTCGGTATTTTAATATTTAGTATTTAGCATTTAACACATAATACCACCTCTCTTTTTTCCCCCCATTTCAAATTGAATGTGGATCTCTTTCAATCATAATTTCCTGGCATTAATGGGACTTTTTTTTTCCCTGGGGGGGTGTTATAGTAGAATGTAAATACAGTAATCTTAGAGAAATATGGATTTTCATGATTCAGTTACAAAGTAAACTATGGTTATGGTTAAACTAAGGTTATGGTTACAAACTATCAAGTTTTATAATAGATACCATATATCACTTGGGACTGTTAATGTTTATGTGGTTTCATTGTATTTTTTCACTCTACAAGCTTAAGGTAAGAAATCCTCTAAAGATTAAGTGGTTTTAAGGATGCAATTAAGTCTCAACATGTATGGTAACCCAGAAACTTTTTTCTTTGAGTTCTCTGGGCAATTTCTCTGCTAGGGTTGAATCACTATCAACAGTCAATGACTTTTCTCTGTAACCTAATTAGACAAATCCACCTTTCCTCACCAGATGTAGTGAAGTTTGTGTGACTAGAATTAGTAATTAAAGAATGGCATTGCTGGATCAAGCTCAAGATAAATCTAGTAAAATGAAAAGTCCCTAAAGCCAACAGTGCCTCTAACTTATATACTGTGGGAGAATATTCTTCAATTATTACTTTATCGTTCTGGGGGGAGGGGGTTAGCCACACACAGCCATGCTCAGACCATGATCATGGTAATGATCCTGCAGGCGCTCAGGGGACCTTTTGTGGTTCTGGAAATCGAACCCAGGCTGACCACATACAAGACATGCGCTTAATTGCTGTACTATCCCTCTGACCACCATTGTTTTTAAATGACCAACTTTTCTCTCTGTTTTGCGGGGTAGGTCACATCCTACAGTGCCCTCACTTCACATTCTTGACAGGCTGACAGTGAATGTAGGGGCTCTGTATGGGCTCTTAATTTTTTTGGGTGCAGAGGTACATTTGGAGGTGTTCGGGGATCACTTCTGACAGGACTCAGAATTATTTGGGTGCCAGGGATTGAACCCAGTGTGACTGCATGCAAGGCAAGTGCCCTGCTTTCTATACTTCCAGCTCTAAATGACCAGCTTTTCTCAGAAACTATTAAATTGTTTTGTTAGTCATGTTTTGTTAGTTACTTATGGTGTATTTGCTGCTTATTTTTCAAGTTAATGAATTCTCTCGTGTTGTATAAATCTTTTTTTGAGAGTTTTTAATTGGTCTTCACCTGAACTTACAGGACCTCTACAGTTTGCCAGGCCATCTTTGATCTTTTCACTTTTCTTAGGTTCATTGTCACTTTTTATGAGTTCCAGCGATCAGAACTGCAAATCATATGTAAGTTCTAAAGTAATTTCATTTAAGCTCCCAAGAGTGTATAGTTAAAGATGATATGTTTTGATTAATTTTTTTTTTTTTTTTTTGCTTTTTGGGTCACACCCAGTGATTACTACTCGCTCTTCACTCAGGAATTACTCCTGGCGGTGCTCGGGGGACCGTATGGGATGCTAGGAATCAAACCTGGGTTGGCTGCATCCGAGCAAACACCCTACTCGCTGTGCCATCACTCTAGCCCCAACTAATGGTTTTTAAATAATGACTTAAGAATTCATGATCTATGTCACTGTTTATTTTTTTCTTTTTGAAACTGTTTAGATAGTGATTTACAATCAGTAATACAGTAATTTCAGGCATTTAATGCTCTAATACCACATTCCTTCCAGTTATTATCTCTCCCTCCCCCCCCAGCCTGTCCCCCTTATCCCCTTACCAGACACAAAATTACATTGCTTGTTACAGCTTGTATTTTATAATGCTGTTACTAAAGTCATTGAGGATTGCTAAGCTTCTAGGAGCTAGTTGAGCCTTCTGTGCTATAGTTTTCTCTAATTGAGCTTAGTGAATTTTTACACAACTATCCCATCTAATTTTCTACTTTTTTTCTTTTTATGGTTTTTGAGCCAAGCTCGGCGATGCTCAGGGCTTACTCCTGGCTCTGCACTCAGGAATTACTCTTGATGGTTCTTGGGGACCATCTGGATGCCAGGGACCGAATCCGGGTCAGCTGCGTGCCTGGCGAGCACTGTACATGCTGTACTGTGTCTCCCACCCTTATCCCATCTAATTTTTGTTCCTACTGGGCTGTCCTGCTGAACTTGGGAGTTGTGGAGCAGCAGTGCCACGTGCTCCAGCAGTTGTATCACTAGAATGATTCAGCACCAGTGACTTCCAAGTGGAAGCGGATGTGCGTGGGTGGAGCCGTGGGCCCTGCCAGTGGGGCAGGGACTCAACCTGCCCCCATCCTGAGAGGGCTCCAGTAATCAGTGCCCAGGAGACCAAGACTACCGGGCTCAGCACTGCAGGGGCATCTCTCTGTTTCTTTTATACTACTAAGATAAATGGGTCAGCAGCTACACAAAAGTACAAACTTGTGTTTGCTTGTTCTGAAATTAGCTTACCACTTTTTGCTTTTATAGTCTTAATCCCTTGACCCAAACTAGCAGAGCCCATTTAAATATTCGAAGGTTTGAGGGCCAGGAAGATAGTACAGCAGGTAGGGCATTTGCCGTGCGTGAAGGCAATCCGGATTGAATCCCTGACATCCTATATGGTCCCCTGAGTACTATCAAGAGTAGTTCCTGAGAGCTTTGCCAGGTGTGAACCCAAAACCAAAAAAAATTTTTTTTAATTATAAAAGATTTATTGGTTTGGTTTTGAATTTTGATTTTAGGATTTGGGGGGTGTTGTGCCAGGCAGTGCTCAGAGATCATTCCTGGTGGTTCTGGGGGACTATGAAACCAGAGGCCAGGGTTGGTTGGTTATAAGGCAAGCACTTTCACCCTTGTCTTGCTTTGGTCCTGAAAATTAGAGATATAAAAACTTTTTTGCAGTCTTCATTACCTGGAGCAGTAGCACCGTAGCACTGTCCTCCCGTTGTTCATCGATTTGCTTGAGCGGGCACTAGTCTCCACTGTGAGACTTGTTACTGTTTTTGGCATATACAATACGTCTTGGGTAGCTTGCCGGGCTCTCCGAGAGGGGCAATCAGACCCGGGTCGGCCGCGTGCAAGGCACACACCCTACCCACTTAAAACTTGTGAATGTAGGAACTAGTTAATTATCTGAAGAGTATAAAAAAGTTGAAAACCACTGATCTACAAGTCCCTGGGCTGATAATTTGACAATCCCCCATTGTAATCTTGAAATTGGCCTTGCAGTAGAAATTTATTCAAAGGAGGGTATTTGGTTGTTTTGGGGGGTCATACCCAGAATGATCAGGGCTTACTCCATACTCTGCATTTAGGGATTACTTTTGGCAGCCTCAGGGGACCATGCGGGTATAATGGATTGGATCCAGTTTAGCTCCATGCAAAGCCAAGTGCCTTACCTGGTGTACTATGGCTCCAGCCCTGATAATCTTTTCTCTTCTTGGGAGGGGAAGGGCCACACACAGCAATGCTCAGGGGTTATTTCTGGCTCTGCATTTAGGAATCACTTCTGGCAGTGCTTGGTGGACCGTATGGGATGTTGGGGATTGAACCCAGCTGGGCTGCATTTAGGGCAAGCACCGTATTTACTGTACTATTTCTCCAGCCCAGCAGATATCCTTTTTCTTCGTGCAGATAAGGAAGATGAATCAAGTAGGTTAAATACTTGAAGTTACACAGCAAATAGTTACCAAAACAAAAATCCTACTGATTTATATTTGATAGCCTATGCTACTAAATACAATTGTTTCCTCAAGTTGTGTTATTAGGATTCTCTTCAGAACCCTGAAATAACCTCACTGAGAGTAATATACCATTTGTGATGTACCATTTGTGACTCACTATTTGCATAAGAATTATTAGGATGCTTGGTACCCTGGGATGTGACTCAGCAGAGGAATATGTGCACATCTGTGAGACCCAGAGTTTGGTGGTCCATCACCACAAAGAACTTTTTTATTCTTGTGTAGTGAAATCTGGACAGTTACTTAATATGTTCCTACTTCTGCCTTTCATTAAAAATTTTAGTTCAAGAATTTTTAAAGTTTAGTTCATGAGTGCTATTTAAATTCAGAATCCATCCTACTGCTGAGAAATACTGCAGTTCTGTGCTGTAGGACTTATTGCAGTGATGGAATATTTACCTTTGCTATTCAGAATGATAGATACTGACTAAATACAGGTTTCTTAGGTTATGAAATTTAATATTTTTAAATTTAAAACTTCTAAATTCCTGTTCAACTATAAATAGCATGAATGAAAATTTTTTTGATTGCCCTGCGTAACGGGAACTTTGCTCATCTCAGTTTTATTCTTCCAAGTAAACAATTATTAAATGACTTGTACAAAATCAAAGCGGTTATTAAGTGGAATTTAAACCCTGAACTCTGCCGTTCCTGTACTATAGTGCTTACTTTAACCTTACTCAAATCTGACTAATGCACACTGTTGATGACAATGATTTTACAGCAGGAAATAAAAATTCCCAAGAGTATGATTTGCTTATTTTATTGGCCAAATTCAGTAAAATCCTCATATGGGGGTGGGGGTTATACCCGGTAGTCTGGCTCAGGGGTTCCTCCTGACTCTGGTGCATGGGGTACTATATGGAATGCCACAGATTGAACCTGGGTCAGCACTGTGCAAGGCAGGTGTCCTATCTGCTCTATTACCTCTTTGGACTCCCAATATTTTTGTATGTTTTGGGGGCACTGCTGGCTGTGCTCAGAGATCAC